CTTGAAGCTCTCTTATGGTTCACTTTGTAATTAACAGATGTCACTCAAGTGTTGGCATTATGACAGAAATGCTAAGTACATTACAAACATGTCTTTATTCAATGCCAGCAATAATTCTATAAAATGTGTACTAATGTACATTTTAGATATCAGTAGGTTGAGGGGCAAGGAATTGAATAATTTATTTCAAATTCATAGCAAGTCACAATGCCTTAGTATAAAGCACCTGTTATCAACCTCATACCACATGTCATAGAAGACAGATAACATGGCCCAGGTAAACTCTTTGACCAGTTTATTCTCCTCCTCAAATAGCCAATAAATTCATGTTACCCACAGATTTCAATTTTTTTTTTCAAAATAAAATTTAAGATATCAAAATCTGGTTCCAGGCTATCTTTTTAAAAATTTCTACCCTTCAGCACTAGTCTTCATACACCCCAGGATTCTGGTCATAGTCACTTGCCTGTCTCTTGACTGTGTCCTGTGCTCAGCCCATGCTGTTTCCTTCACCTGGGATGAGCCTTATGTCGACACCACCTGTCAAAGCCCTTTCCATCTTTCAAAGTCACACATAAACCCAATGTCTTCCATAAAGCTTCCTGAGATCCTCCTCCAAACTACTTTCCTTTACACTCCCATAGCAATGTCATGTCTCCTATTGTGACATTTATCATTCTTGGCCTCTTATGAGTTATTAGAGTAAGTCCATGGCTGACTGAAACCACCCCCCCTTTTTTTAACACAGGCACGTATATGCACACATGTGTGCTCCACCTGGTAGGGGTCAGAGGCAACCTGTAAGATGGCCCCAGTGATCTGCCTCCTAAAACTGACACTCTTATGTAATTCTATCCTCCTTGAATCTAAGCAACATCTAGTGACTCACTTCTCTTTTTGATTTTTTTTTAATTGACAAGACAGAGAGCGGGGGGAGAGTGAGAAACAGATTGGTTGCCTCCCACATGCACCTTGACTCGGTATCGAATCTGCTATCTTTGGTGCATGGGACAATGCTCCAACCAACTGAACCACACTGGCCAGGACTAGTGACTCACTCCTATCAAATGCAGACTACAGCAGAAGTGATGAGATACCTCTTCCAGGATTAGATTATAAAAACATGATTTCCATTTTTGGGGTTCACTTGCTCTCTTGTGCTGAGGGAGCCAGATACCATGCTGTGAGATGGCCGATGCAGAGGTCCACATAGCACAGAATAGAAGGAGACCTTTTTCCCTTTTTCTCTCAAGACCAACAGCCTACAAGGGACTTTATCCTTTTAACAACCATGCATGTGAACTTGAAGTGAATCTTCTATCAACCCTTCAGATGAGACCGCAGCCCTTGCTGACTACAGCCTCTTGAAAGGCCTTGAGCCACGGGTGCTCACTTAAGCTGTATGCGTATTCCTGACCTACAGAAACCATGAGCTGAGCTTTGTTGTTTTAAGGTACTGCATTGTGGGTTAATTTACTACACAATAGATAACTAATACAGTAAGGGTGCAATGTGTGAATTATATTTTAGGATACATAGCTGTAATGAAAGGAATATACTAGTATATACCCCCCCCCAAAATATAAAATCTTTACTTGTGTCAAAGCTATAAAGAAAACGCAATGAACACTTCGGTTTATAATTCAAAGGAGTTGCACCAGGAATTTGTAACCAGGCAGAGTTCTAGAAAAGACTCATTTCTGAATGTTCACTATCAAAAGGGAGCTATTCATTCCAGGTACCTAACACTAGATAAATGATGTAGAGGATGTGGATGAAAAAAATAAAAGGCCCTACTCTACAAAAGCTCTATAAGTTCATTCATTAGAATTCTTGCTTGACAAGGCGTAAGACTAATGTTCAAGGTACTGCCTCTCACAGTACACATGCCACCTGTCTTTAAATTAACCATAGTACAAAGATGCCCTCTTAGTGCGGTAGGCAGTGCATTCATCTCATAAATTAAACACAGTACAATGCCACGCTCCTGAAAAGAAGAATAAAATTGGCTGTTTATTGGGCTTATAAAAAAATACCATGTTATTTGCAAAACAACCCATTGAGCACAGAGAGACATTGCTATAGACTTTAGAAAAAAAACTAACTTCTAAACTTTCCCAAGGATTTAGCTATGATTTCATAGTAAAAGTCCCTAAAATGAAAAGTGACATAAAGGATGGAGTCTCTCAAATTCAACACAAACAATAGTATCACAAATAATCCTCTCTACATGCCCCCTCTCGAAAAGGATAGAAAAGACAAAGAAAGCTTTATGACTAAAAAGTTTCTCTAAACTCGGGTTTTAAAAAGAGAATAACCAAAGTTAAAAAGTATTATCAAGGATTAATTCAAAATTAGGATAGTCACAGGTTTACTTAAAATGTCAGTAAAGACTAATTCTAGTTTGAGGTAAGCTAATGAGAAGAGTTGAGCATGAGAGAGTCTTTGCAAAGCCATATTTGGAGCTTGAACTGAAGAAGGATGGGCTCCACTGCTTATCACGTGTTTAACACCTAACAGACAGTAGAATTCTTATTTTGTTTGCTTCTTCCTATTTTTTAAAAAATGGTTCTTTAAGCTAAAAGTGATAGAACAAAAAATGTCTAAGGAGAACTGAAAGCCCAGGTAGAGTGAGGCTCCCTAATTTCTGGGTGCAGATTAAACAATGTATGATGTACAAAGAACTTGCTTTGCAATTGTAATTATGGTTTTCTTGGCAAATTCCTTAAAGTTGTTTCCATAGACAATCTTTAAACATGATGTACATAGCTAGTGACAAAATTAGCTGCTAGTTTTCTTGAATCACACAGATATCCCTGGACAAGTTAGTTATGGAGTGACTTGATAGCCAGTTACTTTACATCCATTTGATCTTACTCGTTTTTAATGCTGGGTGCATTTGATTGGGTGGTGTCTCCACTCACTGGCTAGTGCCCCAGCCTTAAAGGTTGTTAAATATTTTTAATATACTATCACTCATGGACAAATATTAAATCTATAACTGTGTAGATGAAAGCTAATCTTAGCTAACTCTCCAGAAATAATGATAGCAATTGAGAGAGTATAGTACAGACCATAATTATCTATATCTGGTAATATCTAGGCAGAGGGCTATACATATACCATAATTGATCTTGTTGAGAAAACCAGTAATGAATACAATTATTGGGATACAGGTCCTAGCTGTTAGGTCTGTGGCACTGGACAGAAATGGGGATAAAACCTTTGGAGGGTTTGGAAGATTCAACAAATTAATGTATATAAAAGTATTTAGAACAATTTTTGATATACATACATATACAATAAGTTTTCATGATTATAAGAGCCTTGGAATTCAGAAATGAGGCCCCCTTACTAATAATTACCAGATGGAGTTTTAGAAATTGCCAAAAGCATTTTGCCGTATAATCAAAAGGAATAAAAGACTCGGGAATATGAAATATTCATATTTTATTGTCTACAGATCCCATAGGCAAATGATATATTTTGGAGGAAAAAAGTTAACAACCAATAATATCTTAGCCCTTAGAACATTATTCCATTACACCCACGAGGAGATGGTCTTTCCAGTAATCTACTAAGACTGAAAATAGGGTACTTTTTATACTGTATCTTAGCAATTTATGAATTTGAAATTGACTCTAGAATTATACATGATCTATATTTCCTAAGCTATTGCTTTCAAAAATGGTTTTTGTAATATAGATAGCTGCTAGCCATGTTTGGAAGTAAGTGGCTGTCACTCCTCAAGATCACCGGCATTAGATATCTAAAATATTTTGCTAATAAAAGGGGGGCATCTTTGTCTTGTATTAATTTGCATTTATAATTTTTTAAACTAATGAAAAAGCTTTCCTGGCTACTTTAACTTGTTGCCTACATGACTTAGAAGATAGCTTGAGGAGACTTTTTGTAATTATATCAAAAGTTTTATGCCCAGGTTGTGGGCTTGATCCGCAGTTGGGGTGTGTGCAGGAGACAGCTGATCCATATTTCTCTCTCACATGAATATTTCTCTCCCTCTCCCTTCCCTCTTTCTCTAAATTCAATAAAAACATATTTTTAAAGAAAAATTTGTGGTAAAAATGGCTTACATAATTTTAGGTAAATGATCATGAAATGGTTTGGTTTTTTTAAAAAAGATAACACAGCTATTAAAAGGTATAACAAATTCTTTAGAGGTCAGATGCTTAAATGAAATGGTTCAAAGAATACATGAATTAAGAAAGTCTGTTTAAATATGGAAAAATGTTTTAAAAAGTATTTTAAGTGCAGACTGAAATAAGGGTTGGTCTGGGACAGCATGAGGGGAAGGCCCAGTTTAACCATAATAGGTTTAAAAGAAAAATATATGGCTAAGATAGTCCCAAAACAATATGTAAAGTTTAAATATATAATTGGGAATAGAATGTTCAATAAAGTACTGGATTTTTTTATAAGGCTGTGATATTTTCCAAGAAAAGAAATAATTTCCTTTTGGGTGGTGGGCACACAGTGACATATACAGATCTTGTAACATAGAAATTCACACCTGAGCCCTAAAATAAAAAGAAAGAAAAGAAAAAAATTTCCTAATGATGCAGGATAGTAAGAAGCTAGGGAAATTCCTTAACAAGTGGAATAAGGGAAACTGAGACAAAATAATTAAACAAGACCAAATAATTTGAGCCATTTACAGTCAGCTAATGAATCACAAATCTTCCCTAACCAAGGACACTTAGGAGCAAATGGTTTATATCAGGTACATTCCAGATGTACCCTCTATAAGCACATTTTGATGAATCAACACATGGAAGGAAGGACACACCTGGAAAGCTACTGAATATTCTGTTAAGACTCTCCCTGGAGACCTCCCCTATAGATAGAAATATTACCAAAGTCAGTTTTAGTGACATTGATTTTATATAATTGACAGGACATTCTAGTGATTACAGCTAAGGGAGCTAGAGGACAGAACAGAAAGAGAAAGCAAGAAGGTTTTTCTCTTCCAAAGGTATTGATTGTAGTGCCTCTAATTTAGGTTAAATCAGATGAAAATAACCCCATTTGTCAAAGATGGTGTGTAGGACAGAACCTGGGTGGTCATGGAGAAGTAATAAATTCGTAAGCATGCATTTTTATATCTCCATTTTGTATCTTAATATCTTCTTGGTTGGGGATTACTAGTTTAAATGGCTGATAAGGAATGATGTACAATTAAAGACTACAAGATTCTAAGATCAAGAACAAAGAAAGAGCATCTCCCATGACCCAGAATTTAAAAAGAAGCATCTGAAGAGGCATTTAAGAGTTTTACAGAGAAAAATCCTGAAACTAAAGACATGATCAGAATCTACCTGCTGGCCACACTCTATTCTTCAGCAGCGAGGGATTCAGTAGAGTGAGCTATCACAGAGACCTGCTGGAAACGAACATTCAGAGCGAAGAAAGCCTTCAAGGGCAAGGTCTATCTCCAAAGAAAGAAATCCACATAGTTTTAAAGATCATGGAGTCAACAAGGACCTAAAATATGTATTGGGAACTTTTAATTTGGGCTAAATCACAGGGATTTTTTTATTCATAAATACCACAACTGAATACCAATGAAAGGTGTGCATGTGTCAGAAAGATAGTATTGTATGGAAAAGGAGGACCCAAAATTAAAAACAAACAAACAGAAAAGAAAACACCACAAAACACAATAGCAGGATTTTTAGAATGACATTATGTTCTTAGTTCTAATTAAGTAGAATAAAGTTGGACCCTAGTTTTCCCTGAAAGTCTGGTCAGAAACCTAGAAAGTGTACCCAAGTGCCAGTCTCCCCTGTAAGAAAGACTGGAAGTTTTTGCTGACTAGGCAATTTGGTCTTTCCAGAGCTTAAAATAAGTCAGGACTCTTTGGTTGCCCCTCAGCAACTACTGAGGAGCCTCTTAGAGAAGAGGTATTTATTTCCAGTAGATGGAGGGGAAATGTTTGCATGTCGAGAGCTGGAAGTCAGTTAGAGAGATCCATTCAAAGCCTTAAAGATGACAGTGCTGTTACAGAACTGTTTACAACGTTTCCATGTTCTAAATTTTTAGTTGATTGACACCCTTTAGGAAGAAAAACACCTTTAGTGCCTTACTCTACAATGCACAATGGCTACTGACCACAGCAAGGAGGAGCTGCCCAGGATCCCAAGTTACTGATAAAAATATTCATCAGCTGTGGCCTTCTCTAAGTGTCTGGAGGAAAACTAAATCCAGGAATTAGTCTCTTCCCCAGCACAGGCCAACTGAGAGAGCACACTGCATGAGGCCACATGCTAAAACTGGACAGAGCCTTCTCCATGGACTTTACCTTAAGAACCTCCAAACTTTTGGTACAGTTATTATAGATACCATAATATGATATGATTAGGAAAAGTTTTTGTCTTTTACATCAATAGTCTGAAATAATAATAATCATTATTAAGCATTTTGGTCATATATACTATAGATATTCACATGAAATAAATTGAAATAACCAGTCACATTTTTTTTTCTTAACAGAACAATAAGATAATAAGGAAAATCAATATTTTTTTACTCATTCATGCCTAAATTTAACTTCTAGGTAGGAACAACTTAGAAAGAAATTCCTACCTTACTTAGAAATTTATGCCTTCATTGGAACATTAAGTCCATAAGCTGGAGGTTGAATTGTGATGTGAGGAGAGGGATGATAAATGCTGTAGGAGTCAGACATTGAGGTATGTTTAGTTAACTACCTAGTAACAGATAAAGGAAACCAATGATGCATTAGGACTGCTTGTTTCAAAGTAAACCCCTCCCAGATCTGAGTTAATGCAGATTTTCAAGTCGAGAAATCAAAATGCCCATTAGCAGATAGTATAATGGAGCAACTAGACGTTTACCTATGGAAGCAGAGCACTCTGGTTTCCATACTATGGGTGCCAGCTTTCACCATCAGCATGATTCAGGCACTTCCTGGAGTGGACTGCTCTATGACCTTCATGTTTAGAGCAAACCTTTCTAGTTTGCTGCCGTGTGGTAAAATAAAAGAGGGGGTGTGCTTCTGGTTGCTGTGGATGATGAAGGTTCTATGAAAGAAAACCATAACTCTACACAATTCCACATTTACCATTCTCATTGAAGTTGTTTTCTAGAACACCCAAGCTTAACAAACTGGGCTTCAGATAAGTCTTCTTTGTAAGCACTTCCTGGAACTCTCTGTGGGGGGAGAGTTTAACAATACCTCTCTTTTATATAATCACTAGAGGCCCGGTGCATGAATTCATGCACGGGTGGGGTCCCTCGGCCTGGCCGGCGATCAGGGCTGATCGGGGCCCATCTGACCCAGTCTCCATAGGGTTGATCAGGGCCAGACAGAGGGGGAGGAGGGGGACCGCGGGAGGTTGGCTGTGGGAGCGCACTGACCACCAGGAGGCAGCTCCTGTATTGAGCATCTGCCCTGGTGGTCAGTGCGCATCATAGCAACCAGTCGTAATGGTCACTTAGGCTTTTATATATATATACTAGAGGCCCGGTGCACAAAAATTTGTGCACTCGGGGGGGACGGGAGGCCACTCAGCCCAGCCTGTGCCCTCTTGCAGTCTGGGACCCATCAGGAGATAACGACCTGCTGGCTTAGGCCTGCTCCCGGGTGGCAGAGGGCAGGCCCAATCCCTAGGTGCAGCCCCTGGTCGGGCTCAGAGCAGGGCTGATTGGGGAGTTGGGGCGCCACCCCCTGTCATGCACAGAGCAGGGCAGATCGGGAGGTTGCGATGCCACCCTCAGTAACGCTCAGGGTGGGGCCGATTGGGGGGTTGGGGCACCGCCCCCTGTCACACTCAAGCTGGCCTCTTGCCCAAGGCCCCTCCCCTCCCACTGCACGGCTGGGGCCCTTCCCCTTCTGCTGCGCAGCTGGGGTGCAGATGCTGGGCTCATGTCGCCAGAGGCAAGGTGAGCCCAGCATCCCGTAAGCCCCTCCCCTCCTGCCACTTGGCCAGGGCATGGGCCCTGGGCTCGTGTTGCTGGGCAATGCCACCAGCGTTCTGCCCCAGCCACTATGGCCACCACCATCTTTGTCATGGAGTGATGGTTAATTTGCATATCATTCTTTTATTAGATAGGATTATCACACATTGTTATTATAATTACTAAGTGTTTCCTTCTATCTCTCTCACACACATACACACACACATACACACACTCACACACACATACATGCATATGTAAGATAGATACTAGGAACCATGCTTCACCCACCTCTGTATTTCCAACAACTAGCATTGTGCCTACTACATACCAGGTAGTTAATATTTGCTTGTTGAACATATGGAAACAAAAATTAAACAAAATGTACTTCATGAAGACAATGGACTCTTCAACAGGA